TTGCATTGATCCTATAGACAATCCTTGCATTGATCCTATAGACAATCCTTGCATTGATCCTATAGACAATCCTTGCAATGATCCTATAGACAATCCTAAGCCTTGATCCTATAGACAATCCTTGCCTTGATCCTATAGACAATCCTTGCCTTGATCCTCTAGACAATACTAAGCCTTGAACCTATAGACAATACTAAGCCTTGATCCTATAGACAATCCTAAGCCTTGATCCTATAGACAATCCTTGCATTGATCCTATAGACAATCCTTGCATTGATCCTATAGACAATCCTTGCATTGATCCTATAGACAATCCTAAGCCTTGATCCTATAGACAATCCTTGCCTTGATCCTATAGACAATCCTTGCCTTGATCCTCTAGACAATACTAAGCCTTGATCCTATAGACAATACTAAGCCTTGATCCTATAGACAATCCTAAGCCTTGATCCTATAGACAATCCTAAGCCTTGATCCAATAGACAATCCTAAGCCTTGATCCTATAGACAATCCTTGCATTGATCCTATAGACAATCCTTGCATTGATCCTATAGACAATCCTAAGCCTTGATCCTATAGACAATCCTTGCATTGATCCTATAGACAATCCTTGCCTTGATCCTATAGACAATACTAAGCCTTGATCCTATAGACAATCCTAAGCTTTGATCCTATAGACAATCCTAAGCCTTGATCCTATAGACAATCCTAAGCCTTGATCCTATAGACAATCCTAAGCTTTGATCCTATAGACAATCCTAAGCCTTGATCCTATAGACAATCCTAAGCCTTGATCCTATAGACAATCCTAAACCTTGATCCTATAGACAATCCTAAGCCTTGATCCTATAGACAATCATAAGCCTTGATCCTATAGACAATCCTAAGCCTTGATCCTACAGACAATCCTAAGCCTTGATCCTATAGACAATCCTAAGCCTTTATCCTATAAGTCAATCCTAAGCCTTGATCTTATAGACAATCCTAAGCCTTGATCCTATAAGTCAATCCTAAGCTTTAATCATATAGACAATCCTAAGTCTTGTTCCTATAGACAATCCTAAGCCTTGATCCTATAGACAATCCTAAGCCTTGATCCTATAGACAATCCTAAGCCTTGATCCTATAGACAATTCTATGCCTTGATCTTATAGACAATCCTAAGCCTTGATCCTATAGACAATCCTAAGCCTTGATCCTATAGACAATCCTAAGCCTTGATCTTATAGACAATCCTAAGCCTTGATCCTATAGACAATCCTAAGCCTTGATCCTATAGACAATCCTAAGCCTTGATCCTATAGACAATCCTAAGCCTTGATCTTATAGACAATCCTAAGCCTTGATCCTATAGACAATCCTAAGCCTTGATCCTATAGACAATCCTAAGCCTTGATCCTATAGACAATCCTAAGCCTTGATCCTATTGACAATCCTAAGCCTTGGTATTATAGACAATCTTAAGCCTTGATCATATAGACAATCCTAAGCCTTGATCCTATAAGACAATCCTAAGCCTTGATCCTATAAGACAATTCTAAGCCTTGATCCTATAAGACAATCCTAAGCCTTGATCCTATAGACAATCCTAAGCCTTGATCCTATAGACAATCCTGAGCCTTGATCCTATAGACAATCCTAAGCCTTGATCCTATAGACAATCCTAAGCCTTGATCCTATAGACAATCCTAAGCCTTGATCCTATAGACAATCCTAAGCCTTGATCCTATAGACAATCCTAAGCCTTGATCCTATAGACAATCCTAAGCCTTGATCCTATAGACAATCTTAAGCCTTGATCATATAGACAATCCTAAGCCTTGATCTTATAGACAATCCTAAGCCTTGATCCTATAGACAATCCTAAGCCTTGATCCTATAAGTCAATCCTAAGCCTTGATCTTATAGACAATCCTAAGCCTTGATCCTATAAGTCAATCCTAAGCTTTAATCATATAGACAATCCTAAGCCTTGATCCTATAGACAATCCTAAGTCTTGTTCCTATAGACAATCCTAAGCCTTGATCCTATAGACAATCCTAAGCCTTGATCCTATAGACAATCCTAAGCCTTGATCCTATAGACAATTCTATGCCTTGATCTTATAGACAATCCTAAGACTTGATCCTATAGACAATCCTAAGCCTTGATCCTATAGACAATCCTAAGCCTTGATCTTATAGACAATCCTAAGCCTTGATCCTATAGACAATCCTAAGCCTTGATCCTATAGACAATCCTAAGCCTTGATCCTATAGACAATCCTAAGCCTTGATCTTATAGACAATCCTAAGCCTTGATCCTATAGACAATCCTAAGCCTTGATCCTATAGACAATCCTAAGCCTTGATCCTATAGACAATCCTAAGCCTTGATCCTATAGACAATCCTAAGCCTTGATATTATAGACAATCTTAAGCCTTGATCCTATTGACAATCCTAAGCCTTGATCCTATAAGACAATCCTAAGCCTTGATCCTATAAGACAATTCTAAGCCTTCATCCTATAGACAATCCTGAGCCTTGATCCTATAGACAATCCTAAGCCTTGATCCTATAGACAATCCTAAGCCTTGATCCTATAGACAATCCTAAGCCTTGATCCTATAGACAATCCTAAGCCTTGATCCTATAGACAATCCTAAGCCTTGATCCTATAGACAATCCTAAGCCTTGACCCTATAGACAATCCTAAGCCTTGATTCTATAGACAATCCTAAGCCTTGATCCTATAAGACAATCCTAAGCCTTGATCTTATAGACAATCCTAAGCCTTGATCTTATAGACAATCCTAAGCCTTGATCTTATAGACAATCCTAAGCCTTGATCTTATAGACAATCCTAAGCCTTGATCTTATAGACAATCCTAAGCCTTGATCCTATAGACAATCATAAGCCTTGATCATATAGACAATCCTAAGCCTTGATCCTATAGACAATCCTAAGCCTTGATCCTATACACAATCCTAAGCCTTGATCCTATAGACAATCCTAAGCCTTGATCCTATAGACAATCCTAAGCCTTGATCCTATAGACAATCCTAAGCCTTGATCCTATAGACAATCCTAAGCCTTAATCCTATAGACAATCCTAAGCCTTGATCCTATAGACAATCCTAAGCCTTGATCCTATAGACAATCCTAAGCCTTGATCCTATAGACAATCCTAAGCCTTGATCCTATAGACAATCCTAAGCCTTGATCCTATAAGACAATCCTAAGCCTTGATCCTATAGACAATCCTAAGCCTTGATCTTATAGACAATCCTAAGCCTTGATCTTATAGACAATCCTAAGCCTTGATCTTATAGACAATCCTAAGCCTTGATCTTATAGACAATCCTAAGCCTTGATCCTATAGACAATCCTAAGCCTTGATCCTATAGACAATCCTAAGCCTTGATCCTATAGACAATCCTAAGCCTTGATCCTATAAGACAATCCTAAGCCTTGATCTTATAGACAATCCTAAGCCTTCATCTTATAGACAATCCTAAGCCTTGATCTTATAGACAATCCTAAGCCTTGATCTTATAGACAATCCTAAGCCTTGATCCTATAGACAATCCTAAGCCTTGATCCTATAGACAATCCTAAGCCTTGATCCTATAGACAATCCTAGGCCTTGATCCTATAAGACAATCCTAAGCCTTGATCTTATAGACAATCCTAAGCCTTGATCTTATAGACAATCCTAAGCCTTGATCTTATAGACAATCCTAAGCCTTGATCTTATAGACAATCCTAAGCCTTGATCTTATAGACAATCCTAAGCCTTGATCCTATAGACAATCCTAAGCCTTGATCCTATAGACAATCCTAAGCCTTGATCCTATAGACAATCCTAAGCCTTGATCCTATAAGACAATCCTAAGCCTTGATCTTATAGACAATCCTAAGCCTTGATCTTATAGACAATCCTAAGCCTTGATCTTATAGACAATCCTAAGCCTTGATCTTATAGACAATCCTAAGCCTTGATCCTATAGACAATCCTAAGCCTTGATCCTATAGACAATCCTAAGCCTTGATCCTATAGACAATCCTAAGCCTTGATCCTATAGACAATCCTAAGCCTTGATCCTATAGAGAATCATAAACCTTGATCCTATAGACAATCCTAAGCCTTGATCCTATAGACAATCCTGAGTCTTGATCCTATAGACAATCCTAAGCCTTGATCCTATAGACAATCCTGAGCCTTGATCCTATAGACAATCCTAAGCCTTGATCCTATAGATAATCCTAAGCCTTGATCCTATAGACAATCCTAAGCCTTTATCCTATAGACAATCCTAAGCCTTGATCCTATAGACAATCCTAAGCATTGATATTATACACAATCCTAAGCCTTGATCTTATAGACAATCCTAAGCCTTGATCTTATAGACTATCCTAAGCCTTGATCCTATAGACAATCCTAAGCCTTGATCCTATAGACAATCCTAAGCATTGATATTATACACAATCCTAAGCCTTGATCTTATAGACAATCCTAAGCCTTGATCTTATAGACAATCCTAGGCCTTGATCCTATAGACAATCCTAAGCCTTGATCCTATAGACAATCCTAAGCATTGATCCTATAGACAATCCTAAGCCTTGATCCTATAGACAATCCTAAGCATTGATCCTATAGACAATCCTAAGACAATTCTTTAAACTAAAGAAATAAAGAAGAAGAGCAATAGAGTTGTAGTGTCGAATCTGGTTTATATATTAGGGCTCCAGGCGTTATAAAAGTCTTACGTTAAGACTACGGGTAAGAGGAACAAAGGCTTTGAGTGCAAGTGGACTTAAGCTTTGCAAGCCGCCAGGTATTAGCATCTCTTAAGTGTCTCTTCAGGCCACGAGGCTCCGCGCAGCTTAAAGGTTTCATTAGACGAAGAGCACAGGTGTGATCTCTGGCAATATATTGATGGAAATACGTGCAGAATGTCTGTATTAATATACACAGTGAAGGTGAATGGTGGAGTATGTGTTCGTTGTTACCTATTATGAATCTGAAAGTATTAAACAGATGTAGACAAGCTTTTTATTTTTCTGTCTACATCAGTGGTGGAAGTGGGGACACTGCCAGCACTGTCTACATCAGTGGTGGAAGTGGGGACACTGCTAGCACTGTCTACATCAGTGGTGGAAGTGGGGACACTGCTAGCACTGTCTACATCAGTGGTGGAAGTGGGGACACTGCTAGCACTGTCTACATCAGTGGTGGAAGTGGGGACACTGCTAGCACTGTCTACATCAGTGGTGGAAGTGGGGACACTGCTAGCACTGTCTACATCAGTGGTGGAAGTGGGGACACTGCTAGCACTGTCTACATCAGTGGTGGAAGTGGGGACACTGCTAGCACTGTCTACATCAGTGGTGGAAGTGGGGACACTGCTAGCACTGTCTACATCAGTGGTGGAAGTGTGGACACTGCTAGCACTGTCTACAACAGTGGTGGCAGTGTGGACACTGCCACCACTGTCTACATCAGTGGTGGAAGTGTGGACACTTCTAGCACTGTCTACATCAGTGGTGGAAGTGGGAACACTGCCAGCACTGTCTACATCAGTGGTGGAAGTGGGGACACTGCTAGCACTGTCTACATCAGTGGTGGAAGTGGGGACACTGCTAGCACTGTCTACATCAGTGGTGGAAGTGGGGACACTGCCAGCACTGTCTACATCAGTGGTGGAAGTGGGGACACTGCTAGCACTGTCTACATCAGTGGTGGAAGTGTGGACACTTCTAGCACTGTCTACATCAGTGGTGGCAGTGTGGACACTGCCACCACTGTCTACATCAGTGGGGGAAGTGTGGACACTGCCACCACTGTCTACATCAGTGGTGGAAGTGGGGACACTGCCACCACTGTCTTCATCAGTGGGGGAAGTGGGGACATTGCCACCACTGTCTACATCAGTGGTGGAAGTGGGGACACTGCCACTACTGTCTACATCAGTGGGGGAAGTGGGGACATTGCAAACACTGTCTACATCAGTGGTGGAAGTGGGGACATTGCCACCACTGTCTACATCAGTGGTGGAAGTGGGGACATTGCCACCACTGTCTACATCAGTGGTGGAAGTGGGGACATTGCCACCACTGTCTACATCAGTGGTGGAAGTGGGGACATTGCCACCACTGTCTACATCAGTGGGGGAAGTGGGGACATTGCCAACGCTGTCTACATCAGTGGTGGAAGTGGGGACATTGCCACCACTGTCTACATCAGTGGTGGAAGTGGGGACACTGCCACCACTGTCTACATCAGTGGTGGAAGTGGGGACACTGCCACCACTGTCTACATCAGTGGTGGAAGTGGGGACACTGCCAGCACTGTCTACATCAGTGGGGGAAGTGGGGACACTGCCAGCACTGTCTACATCAGTGGGGGAAGTGGGGACATTGCCAACACTGTCTACATCAGTGGTGGAAGTGGGGACACTGCCACCACTGTCTACATCAGTGGTGGAAGTGGGGACACTGCCACCACTGTCTACATCAGTGGTGGAAGTGGGGACACTGCCAGCACTGTCTACATCAGTGGGGGAAGTGGGGACACTGCCAGCACTGTCTACATCAGTGGGGGAAGTGGGGACATTGTCAACACTGTCTACATCATTGGGGGAGTCTAGGGAGGGAGTCAATGATGACTACATCATTGGGGGAAGTGAGGACACTGCTACCACTGTTGTGTTTGATCACTTGTCAGGTGAAGATAGCACTACGGGGGGGGGCGGGTATTGCCCCAGTGGTGCAATGTTATCATGTGCAGTATAACATACAGTTTAAAGTTCATGTTATCAGTGCTAATTCAAAGTGAACTACAGCTTTTCTTGGTTGTAATTGACCTCGATAATATTTAACCATGCACGCGTATACGCACTAATTAAATGACGTTGAAATAAGGAAGAATCCAGCCAACACATCGATGACTGTAACACTGTTGTTCTTCCTGTTATACGTGTTCGTTCTTCTCTGTACCTTCACGACCTGTTATACGTGTTCGTTCTTCTCTGTACCTTCACGACCTGTTATAGGTACTCGTTCTTCTCTGTACCTTCACGACCTGTTATAGGTACTCGTTCTTCTCTGTACCTTCACGACCTGTTATAGGTACTCGTTCTTCTCTGTACCTTCACGACCTGTTATAGGTACTCGTTCTTCTCTGTACCTTCACGACCTGTTATAGGTACTCGTTCTTCTCTGTACCTTCACGACCTGTTATAGGTACTCGTTCTTCTCTGTACCTTCACGACCTGTTATAGGTACTCGTTCTTCTCTGTACCTTCACGACCTGTTATAGGTACTCGTTCTTCTCTGTACCTTCACGACCTGTTATAGGTACTCGTTCTTCTCAGTACCTTCACGACCTGTTATAGGTACTCGTTCTTCTCTGTACCTTCACGACCTGTTATAGGTACTCGTTCTTCTCAGTACCTTCACGACCTGTTATAGGTACTCGTTCTTCTCTGTACCTTCACGACCTGTTATAGGTACTCGTTCTTCTCAGTACCTTCACGACCTGTTATAGGTACTCGTTCTTCTCAGTACCTTCACGACCTGTTATAGGTACTCGTTCTTCTCAGTACCTTCACGACCTGTTATAGGTACTCATTCTTCTCAGTGCCTTCACGACTTGTTATAGGTACTCGTTCTTCTCTGTACATATGTGAGGTTGGTAACATTTGTACTCATTAGCCTCGTGACTCTAGTGTTCTCCAGCCTTTCTTCTCTTGTTAACTAAGAAGAACACAAGAACATATGAACAAAGGGGCAGCAGAAAGTCTTTGACCTATTCTCGGCAGCTCCTATTTATATCCATCCAAACTTCTTCAAATACATGTACATGTCTAACCTATACTTGAGACAATCCGTCGATCCAATGTCTGTTATGCTGCATGGAAAATGTGCTATATTAATCAATATTCCTGTATTCAAACCAGTATTTACCCAGGTCATTTTTGAATCGAAACATCCAATTTATATACATTGTTTCGCAGTCAATTTGGTGTTGATATGTTGAAAATTTTATTTATATCTGCCATTGTTGTATCCTTTTATCCATTTAAATCCTTTAGTCATGTCACTTCTACTTCATTATGCTTCCAGAAAATGTAAGTTAAGCTTTTATAATTTCTTCAAAAGGAAACGTATTAATTCCTTGGATTAACTTTGCCGTCTTTTCCAGCACGTCCTCAAGTGTATATATATATATTTAAAATTTCAGAAACGAAAACTTATCTACACACTCTAGATGGGGACAAACACGGGTAAGATAAAGTTAAAGAATAAAAATAAGATTGATTTAAGATTTAATAAAATTTAAATTTTAGATTTAATAGATTTAATAGATTTAATAAAATTTATAGATTTATAAATTTAATAAAATAGATTTAATAAAATATCTGTGAATATTTTATTCGATCAAAATAACAGAATAAAATGCAGGCGATGAGTCACAATAACGGGGCTGAAGTAAGTTGACCAGGCCACACACTAGAAGGTGAAGGGACGACGACGTTTCGGTCCGTCCTAGACCATTCATAAGTCAATTGTGAATGGTCCAGGACGGACCGAAACGTCGTCGTCCCTTCACCTTCTAGTGTGTGGTCTGGTCAACAGAATAAAATATCTGTGAAATATTTCGAAAAGCATCATAAAATGTGCTCAGTTGACCCGCTTGTCAACGTCAGTGTTGCTGTATGAGAGCTTCAGGTCTGAGCAAATATTACGTTGAGTGATGACCAGACCACAACACAGAAGACGGACAGGCGACGACGTTTAGGTCCGTTCTGGACCATTATCATTATCACGTCATCACACGACGTGATGATGGTCCAGGACGGACCCAAACGTCGTCGCTTCTCCATCTTCTGTGTTGAGGTCTGGTCAATACTTCTTAGCCACGTTATTGTGACTCGTCGTGTGCGTATACTGAGTGAATGTGGTGACCGAGACACCACGTTGGAACGACAGTTATTAAACAGTGAGTCAGTTTGTGTGTACATTGTCTCAACGTTTCAACACCTGCGCTTGAAACATTTCACTAAACATTTCACTAAACATTTCACTGATCTAGTATTGCCAAAAGAAAATCACATGCACAACTGATCCCAACGCCACGTTCTCAAGGACTCGCTTTTCACTGGCTATTGTACCTTTGATAGAAACATCAATATAATTGCAAGAATACACACCTTGGAATAGGGGGTTGTGTGTATGGAGTTGCATGTCTACAGGATGAACTTACACAACTAATCAATAATGGGAGTAGAAATGTTCCTAAATGGCTTCTATTATTACTATTGAAGACTTCCTACCACAAAACGATAGCTTCTTGACAAAAATTGTAAATCCTGTTCAAGTCAGATGTGTACGTACCTAGTAGTACTTACCTAGTTGTGCTTGCAGGGCTCTAACTCTTTGGTCCCACCTCTCAACTGTCAATCAACTGATGTACAGGTTACTGAGCCTATTGGACTCTATCATGTCTACATATGAAAATGTGTATGGAGTCAGCCTCCACCACAACACTGCCTAATGCATTCCATTTGTTTACTACTCTGACACTGAAAAAAATCTTTCTACTGTCTCTGTGGCTCACTTTGATCACTAAGTTTCGACCATTGTCCCCTCGTTCGTGTCCCTCCCGTGCTGAAGAGTTTGTTTTGTCCACCCTCTATGCCCCTGTTACCTAGCAGGGATCCGGTCGGCCGAGCGGACAGCACGCTGGACTTGTGATCCTGTGGTCCCGGGTTCGATCCCGGGCGCCGGCGAGGAACAATGGGCAGAGTTTCTTTCACCCTATGCCCCTGTTACCTAGCAGTAAAATAGGTAACTGGGTGTTAGTCAGCTGTCACGGGCTGCTTCCTGGGGGTGGAGGCCTGGTCGAGGACCGGGCCGCGGGGACACTAAAGCCCCGAAATCATCTTAAGATAACTTAAGATCTTAAGATAACCCTGTCAATTCCCCTGAGAATTTAGTAGGTGGTTATCATATCTCCCCTTACTCTTCTGTTTTCCAGGGACGTGAAGTTCAGCTCCTGTAGCCTTTCCTCGTAGCTCACACCTCCTAGTTCCGGGACGAGTCTGGTGGCATACCATTGAATCTTCTCTAACTTTGTCTTGTGTTTACCGAGGTATGGACTCCAGGCTGGAGCTGCATACTCCAGGATTGGTTTGACATTAGTGGTATACAGGGTCCTAACCGATTCTTTACACAAGTTTCTAAAGGCAGTTTTTATGTTGGCCAGTCTAGCATATGCCGCTGATAATAACCTTTTCATGTGGACCTCTGGGGACAAGTTCGGTGTGATATCAACCCCCAGATCTTTCTCTCTATTTGACTCTTGCAGGATTTCACCTCCCAGATGGTACCATGTGTTCATCCTTCTGCTCCCTTCGCCTAACTTCATTACTTTACACTTTCCTGAGTTGAACTTTAGTAGCCATTTTCTAGAACATTCCTCTAGTTTGTCTAGGTCGTCCTATACTCTCTGTCCATCTTCATCTGTCTTGATTCTTCTCATAATTTTTGTATCATCAGCAAACATTGAGAGGAATGTGTCTATACACTCCGGAAGATCTGTGGCGGAGTTCCACAGAGCCCTGTGGGACTCCGCTGGTGACAGCTCGCCACTCTGATGTCGGCCCCCCTAACAGTTACTCGCTTTTTCTTGTTAATTAGAAACTCCTTTATCCACTGGAGCACCTTCCCGTTTACTCCTGCCTGTTGCTCCAACTTTTGTAACAGCCTTTTATGGGGTACTGTGCCAAAGCCTTTCTGACAGTTTAGGTAGGAAAATGCAGTCTGCCCACCCTTCACTTTCTTGCCTAAATTTTGTTGCTTAGGTATAGAATTATATTAAACCTGTGAGGCACGATTTACCATCTCTGAACCCATGTTGGTGGTGTGTTACAAAGTTATTTGCCTCCAGATGCTCTACGAGCCTTTTCCTCACGATCTTCTCCATCACCTTGCATGGTATACAAGTTAGGAAAACTGGCTTGTAGTTCTGTGCCTCTTGCCTGTCACCCTTTTTATATATTGGGACTACATTAGCTGTCTTCCCACTTTCTGGTAGGTCTCCTGTTTCTAGTGACCTGTTATACACCATAGAGAGTGGCACACTTAGTGTTTCTGCACCTTCCTTTAGTATCCATGGTGAGATTCTGTCAGGCCCAACTGCCTTTGTCACATCCAGCTCCAGCAGACACCTTTTGACCTCATCACTGGTGAGGTCAAATTCCTCCAGGGTTGTTCGGTTTGCCGCCTCCTCATTAAGTGCAGGGGCTTCTCCTTGTTCTATTGTGAAGACCTCCTGGAATCTCCTGTTGAGTTCTTCACACACCTCCTTGTCATTCTCTGTGTATCTGTTCTCCCCTTTTCTCAGTTTCATCACTTCTTCCTTCACTGCTGTTTTCCTCCTGATGTGGCTGTGGGGCAGTTTTGTTTGGGTCTTAGCTTTACTCTCAATGTCATTTTCATACTGTCTCTCTGCTTCTCTCCTCACTCTGAGGTACTCATTCCTGGCCCTCTGGTATCTCACCCTGCTCTCCGGTGTTCTGTTATTCCAGTAGTTTTTCCATGTACTTTTACTCAATTGCTTCGCTTCCTTACATTCCTAGTTGAACCATGAATTCTTCTCTTGCTTATTGTTTTCCTCCTTTTGGGCCGGGATAAACTTGTCTGCAACTTCCTGGCACTTCTGGGTGACGTAGTCCATCATATCCTGTACAGACTTCTCTCTGAGTTCTGTTTCCCATGGTATTCCCCTTAGTGAGTTCCTCATCTCGTCATATTTTCCTCTTCGGTAATTTAGTCTTTTCCCTTCCGCTCCCATCCTTGGATAGGTTATCCCTACCTAGACCAAGTACCCCAATGTCAATACACTGTGGTCACTCATTCCTATGGTGGCACATGTGCGGTGTGTCTGTGGTCCAGATTTACCTCTCACGCTCCTGTTAACGTATATCTTCGTGCACAAAAGTATTATAGTCAATAATGTTAACTCACCATGTATGCGGTGACAGCCCCCCAGTGTGTATATATATATATATATATATATATATATATATATATATATATATATATATATATATATATATATATATATATATATATATATATATATATATATATATATATATATATATATATATATATATATATATATATATATACATGTTAGTCTTATATCAAGGTTCCCCCAGAATGCAATCCCACAATATGCTGACTAACTCTTGGGTGCCTATTTATTGCTGGGTGGACAGGGACATTAGGGTACATTAGGGGGGCCTCGTAGCCTGGTGGATAGCGCGCAGGACTCGTAATTCTGTGGCGCGGGTTCGATTCCCGCACGAGGCAGAAACAAATGGGCATAGTTTCTTTCACCTTAAGTGCCCCTGTTACCTAGCAGTAAATAGGTACCTGGGAGTTAGTCAGCTGTCACGGGATGCTTCCTGGGGTGTGTGTGGTGTGGAGAAAAAAAAACAAAAACAAAAAAAAAGTAGTTAGTAAACAGTTGATTGACAGTTGAGAGGCGGGCCGAAAGAGCAAAGCTCAACCCCCGCAAAAACACAACTAGTAAACACAACTAGTAAACACAGGAAACACGCCCAACCACTTCTGTCCCTCCCGAGATTCAAACCCGTTATTCCAGATTGTGAGTCGCGAACCAACCCATCTGTGCCACCGGGACCATTATTATATATAAGGCACAATTTTTCCATATAAAAAAAGGTTGAATTTTATGCTAATCGTGTGTAATTATGTCTCAAATTGCTAGCGCTTGTTCGCCCTTGACTGGTATTTACCATTCAATCCCGGAAGCCATGCCGCGCCTGTGTACTAGATGGCTGATGTCTCGGGCCAGAACTCAGAGAAATAGCTCCTCTTTCCCCAAGACAGCCCCTGTAATCCTTGGGGATCGATATGGAAATCAGGTCAATTGTCCTGATGGGCTCTCCACAGGTCGTCAGTCGTCCTGGAGAGTCTCGAAGGACTCTGAGTCAAGACTCTTGAGAGCGGCTCGTGGTACAAGCCGCTCTGGTCAGGAACTCTCACAAAGATTCAAGAGTCGGATTGACTCCGACTCTGAATTATGTGAGGTTCATTTTACGAGATTATTCTTGATGTTTGTAGAGGAAACACTAATTTGGATAAGGACTTGCAAGTAAACTGGTGAGATTACGGAATTTTTACAAATTTGCTGCATTCTGATAACGAACTTTTGGAAACAAAAAGACGTGCATGAATGCAGGAATGAATACAGGCATGAGGTAAAAGGAAATAATTCTAAAAACAGTCTTTGAGTTAGAAGGCGTCATTAATTTTGATGCCATCGACAAAGGCGGAAAGATATAAATTCCATGTATTCAGGGTTTATGCAAGGCAAATTAATGACATATTTTTCTGCAGGTTTCTGGATCAAAGCAACCCACTCACATGCAGGGCTGGGAGCGAGGGGCAGCTCTATCCACCAACTGGTCGGTATCCATCACCCAGAGACCAAACGTCAACTGGTGTTATGGAGTTCTTGCAGTGGCTGTAGAGAAGTGCTTGACAATGACACCCGTATATCATAAGGAAGCAAGTGTATAAACCTAGCATCTTGCAGGGTTTGAAATTCATCTCTTGGGTTTCATTACCAGCAAGTAACAGCTTTAAGAGATTCAGAACCTATTGGCTTCTGTCATGTATACTCTTGAAGCTATTTATCGAGTTAGTCTTCGCTACTTCACCTTCTAGTTCCTTTCAGTTCCATATTACACTGACACTAAGGATATTTTATCCCGGCGGCTCATACTGTACCTTAGCTTCCACCTGTGTTCCTTTCTTCCTGTCTCTTCTTCGGCCATTAACCTTATGTTAGTTACATTGACAATTCCACTGGGCATTTTGTACGTTGCGATCATGTCCTCTCTGATCCTCTTCTGGTCCTCCTATCAGATCCATATCCGAGACGTGTATTTAAATCTTGCATCGTTAGACAATCCTTTCTAAATGTAACGTCTCATTATTCTCTCATCACCCGCAGATGTATATATACATATATATATATATATATATATATATATATATATATATATATATATATATATATATATATATATATATATATATATATATATATATATATATATGTTGCACCAAGTAGCAAGAACGTCGTACTCAGCCTACTATGCAAGGCCCGATTTGCCTAATAAGGCAAGTTTTCCTGAATTAATATATTTTCTCTAATTTTTTTCTTATGAAATGATAAAGCTACCCATTTCATTATGTATGAGGTCAATTTTTTTTTTATTGGAATTAAAATTAACGTAGATATATGACCGAACCTAGCCAACCCTACCTAACCTAACCTAACCTATCTTTATAGGTTAGGTTATTTTGACCAGACCACACACTAGAAGGTGAAGTCGATTCTGAATCGACTTGAGAATGGCCCAGGACGGACCGAAACGTCGTCGTCCCTTCACCTTCTAGTGTGTGGTCTGGTCAACATACTTTAGCCACGTTATTGTGACTCCTCGTCTGCATAGGTTAGGTTAGGTTAGGTAGCCGAAAAAGTTAGGTTAGGTAGTCGAAAAACAATTAATTCATAAAAACTTTGCTTATTAGGCAAATCGGGCCTTGCATAGTATATTTTGGTAGCAGTCTTTCTTGTAAACATATATTATTAAATATGACCGAAAAAGTAAGATTAATAATTCTAACACGAATTTCCTCAATATTTCTTGTTTCCTTTCACTGTCGATGGTAATTGAAAAATCAATTCTCCAAAATTCATTTTTATTTCTAGTCTGACGCGACACTTGAACGCGTTTCAAAATAACTAATTACAGTTTCAAAGACTTTAGTTTACACACACACAACTATAACCTGCAAACACTAAACAGAGTTCTACTATGCTATAATTTAAACGGCTTTCATCTTATGTACCTGCATTTGGGTGAGGTGATATGTTACGACAGTTTTAGATGAGGTGAAAACAAACTTTCAACACAAGACAGAACACGAAACAATGGGTATAATATTTTGTAAGTTAAAGGGAAGAATGGAAGTAACTGCAAAGGGCTTATTGGCCCATATTTCTTGATGCTTCTATATTGGTGCGGAGTCTTGAAGTGGGTAGAATATAGTTGTGCATTAATTGGCTGTTGATTGCTGGTGTTGACTTCTTGATGTGTAGTGCCTCGCAGATATCTAGCCGCCTGCTATCGCTGTATCTATCGATGATTTCTGTGTTTTCGTCACGGCCCTTGTGAATTTGTTCATTTGATGCATCACGTTAGTGTGATCTCTGTGTGTAATGATGTAAGGGCGAAGAGGAAGAACGGCCTATTGACATAGCTCGGGAGCAGGGGGGGGGTGTTGTGTAAAAGCCTGGTTTGTGCCTCGGAGAGGCTACGGGATCCAGTAAGTTCAGTAGAACTTCGGTTTCAACCCTTTTACCCTGTCGTAGCTCAGTCGATTAAGGCAGTGTCTGGGATGCTCCCGGACGCAGGTTCGAATCTTCGTCGCGGCCCTTGTGGATTTGTTCATTGTACCAGGTACTCAATGTAAGAGAATAAGGGCAAGAAAATCCTACTAAATAAATGAAACCGATAGTTTCTAAAATAAATGAAACATTTAATTGTTCCAAAAGTGAATAAGGTAGTCCAAGAATGTAGGCATACCTTGCCGAGTCTCTATAGGACAGAAGCAAGGGTTTTCCCACTAAATGAAATATGATACTTACAGAATTAGCGAACTTTGTGCTCTGAAAAAAGAAAGCTAATTCCCGACCTAAGTAAATATCATCATCTCTGACCGACGTGTAGGGGTGCGAGTGTCAACTGGTGACGAGAACTGCTGTTGAGGTCCCAACTCAGCAACTTAGTCCGTGCTAGAGGAACTATGGCCCTCTTTATCCTCCTTTGGTCGGATTGCAGAAGATAGGGTGCTTTGACCCGAAGACAAACCAAAGTACCAGGGTACCAAAATGATGATCTGTCTGAGATTGAGAAATATCCTAGGGACAAAAGGTGGAAAACCCGAGTAATAACACGGAGGGAGGGATGACCAATTAAGAGAATGACTGAGGCATACAGTCACCACGTAATCCAAAGTTATCCCACACTCACAATATGCTACTCTCGGAATGCACAATACACACAGCACCATATAAATATTAAAAGTAATGAAAATATTGAAAAGCAACTGTATGAAAGCCAAGTACGCTTACCACAAATTGATGTTCTAGTACTAGTACCTGAGTGAAGCTCCTAGGACAGGCCACCATTAAATGTGACGGGAAAGTGTAGGAGTGTAGATGTTCGGCAGTCCTCCTAATGGCTGGTGTCAATGCCTGTCACATTTACAAAAAAAGAGACTGCATGGCTGTGGTCTGTGGTAGAGTAAGGGAAGACACGCAAAACACATAGTATGAACAATGAAACTTTAATTAACTGGAAAACAAATTTAAAAACAAAGACAATCCCTTGGTTATGTACAGTGCAAACAAACAAGTCATAATAAATAAGAACAGGGATAAATTACTCTAGGAATAATATAAAGACAAAATGACATAAACAGGTGCTGAGAATATAGCGCTAGCTGGGAACCTCCACCAATAAACAGGACGTGTATCAGTTGGTTGTTCACAGCTTGAGAGCACAAGGACTTGACTTAAATGGCTGGTTCAAGCCCAGACATCGACTTAGGTAGAGGGCGCTGTAATGCAGAGGTGCAGGTGTGCAGACAGAGTATATTCTACCCACCTCAAGACTCCGCTCCAATATAGTAGCATCAAGAAATATGGACCAATAGGCTTTCTACAAACACTTCTATTCAATACCCATTGTTCCTGTTCTGTCTTGTGTTGATACTTTTAATACCCTATTAATATCCCCTCTTGTTCTGTCTTGTGTTAATGCCACATCACCCCTCCCACCTCACTCAAATGTAGATATAAAATCAGAGATACGTAAGTTCTAATCAGTTGTGTATTTGTGAAGTCTTTGAAAATGTAATAAGTTTTACGAAACGCGCCCGTGTCGCGTCAGACTAGAAATAAAAATGAATTTTGGAGAAGTGATTTTTGATTTACCTCCAACAGTGAAGCGTAATGTACGAAAGATTGAGAAAATTCGTGTTAGAATTATTAATCTTACTTTTTCGGTCATATTTAATAATATATGTCTACAGGAAAGACTGCTACCAAAATATACTAATATATATATATATATATATATATATATATATATATATATATATATATATATATATATATATATATATATATATATATATATATATATATATATATATATATATATATATATATATATATATATATATATATATATATATATATATATATATATAAACGTTAAATGTCCAAGCAAACGATGAGCACCTTGTAAAATTTAGATGGAAATTAATGTCAACATTTTTGTGACGTGACGTGACACAAGCAGACATCGTAACACTACTTGAGTTGCCACAGTCATCAGAAGTGGACGTGCGTCTCTGTGTTCTGAGAATTTAGAAGAATACTGGTTCTGGATAAAATGTTTGAGTGAAGGCTACAGTTATAACTGGTGAGGAAGCTGCCGAGGACACGACGTACGCCAACTCTCAGTGATTATGAAGTTATTAGAGATGGCCTGAAGCCTTGTGGTGGACGTGCCTGTGTGGAACTCTACTGTGTTATACACTCGAGTGGAGGAGAATAAGCAGGTATTTCTGTGTGGAGCCTGCCAGGCGACTTTGTGTGCTCAAGTCCGGAGCAGAGAAGCTGTGTAAGGCAGTCATAAAGTGACTTTGTTGGACCTCCGAGAGTGACACCATCTTGGAGCACCAGAGTGTGCGGAGTGAGCATCTCCACATCCTGAATTCTGCCGTATGGTCATTTAATCAGTTGACAAAATATTTATCAGTGTTGACCAGACCACAAACTAGAAGGTGAAGGGATGACGACGATTCGGTCCGTTCTGGACCATTCTCAAGTTGATTCAAGTCTATCGACTTGAGGATGGTCCAGGACGGACCGAAACGTCGTCGTCCCTTCACCTTCTAGTGTGTGGTCTGGTCAACATACTTTAGTCACGTTATTGTGACTCATCGCCTGCAACATTTATCAGTGCTTGATCGTGTGCCCAGCAATCACTGAGAATGTATATGAATGTATGATAGATATTTTATTGAAACAGTGAGCTAAAATAAGCAGTTAGAGATAAGTGGACATGCTTTACAAAGGAGCAGCACGTCCTCACTCACTGGAGGTCAGTGGGAGACTGAGGGGGGCAGCCGTCCAGAGTTGATTTCAGCGTGGACCCTTCTGGATGGGGGAGGACCCATCTCAGTGAGGCCAGCACGGAGTGTCATGTCGGATGGCGTTATTAATGTAAATATATTTTATTATTTTTGTGTTGTTAGGAAAACATTTTATTATGAACTAGTAGTACCCGGTCACGCATTGATGTGGCTCACTACAGTAACCTTTCCTGTTCCCAGTCTTCCCCACCATTCTTCCCTCACCCGTCTCCTCGGCCTCCCAACCATTCCCGTA